TCTCTGTATGTGCTAAAAAGCATGCCTTCTATCGCTAACAGCACCCATGGCTACCTTGCCTTCTTCAGAGTATCTCTCTGCATGTTGTTGGGCTGTGGGTCTCGTGTTAATCACCATCTACTGCAAGGAGAAGGTCCTCTAAGAAAGGTGAGCAATGCACTGATCTACGGGTACAGTACAACATCATTAGGAATCATTTTACTGCCAAGTTCATATTCTGATTTCTCTTCAGATCGTATAAATCTTTCACCTTTTACTGCCCCGTTCACTCAACAGAATAAGGGGAGTCAGTTTTCCGCTGCGCCCAGGATCTAGCTAGTCTCAGGTTCTTGCTTTGGTTGACACTATCTCAGGCCTGGTTGGAGCATCTTTATCACACCTCTCCCCCTCAGGGCTCAGCATCTCTGACGGAGGAGGGGCAGAAAGTTTGTCGGTGGTTTTGTTGTTGCTGGGTGTTACACTGTTCTCTCTCACTTTTAAAATTAATTCTTTATTAATTTATTGCTTACATTCTAATCCCTCCTCTCCTCCTGCTCCCTCCTCCACTTCCCCCTCCTCCCATCTGCTCCAGGGAGGGTGAGGCCTCCCCTAGGAAGTCTACTAAGTGGGTCCCATCATCCCCTTGAGGCAGGACCAAGGCTTCTCTCCAGGTGGAGGGTGACTTTAAGGAGGAGACATTTCCTAGACACAACAGGGCTGATGTCCATATAAACACACAAAGGCTGTGACAGTACAGTGTGGCCTGCACAAGCTCAGGGAGACAAAGCCCAGCCCTGAGAAGGAAAAGCGGGCAAAGTCCACCACTGACCAAGAAGCTATCTGCACCTGACAGCGCTGAGAGGGACAGTCTCTATTGCAGCGACACTCGCACACCAGCCCCAGTCCGGGGCAGGCCCATGCCAGGAGTAAAAGGCCCACACTAATGCCATCCATGTTTTCAGGGATTTCTCCTCCTCCTTCTTTTCTTTGTCTCCCCCAACCTTTTCTCTTTCATTCAAGAGAAGAACATGAAGCAGGGTGGATAGTAGTAAGGGGAAGAGCTGGCAGGATTTGGGGAACAGAAAAGGATAAAAAAAAAAAAAAGTTCTGTGTGAAATTCTCAGAGAATTAGGGCTGCAGAGATGCCCAGCGGTTGAGCGGGCAGTTGTTGCTCTTGCAGAGGGCCCTGAGTTCAGTTCCCGGCATCCACATAGCAGCTCACAGCCACCGACAACTCCAGTTCCAGGGGACCCAGGAGAGCACCGGCATGCACTTGGTAGATAGGAGTGTGTGCGTGCATGCGTGTGTGTGCGTGTCTGTATATATATTATATATATATATATATATACATACATATATATATGTATGTATGTCTATATATTTTAAAGGCACTGCTTTACCCAGTGGCATAACAGGTTGTCAGGCAGTGTGGTGCTGACTCGGAATTTCTTGGGTGAAGCAGTCAGTGATCTGGACTCCTTCTGCTTATTAGGTTTACATTTATTTTTCTTTATTTTTGAGACAGTCTTACTATATACTGCAATTCTCAATCCTCCTGCTTCAGTCTTCTCAATGCTGGGATTAAAAGAATGATGCTTCCTAGTTTAAAACAGTTTTTGTTGCCTTTAGGGTAGTGGAATGAGCGAGTCTAAAATACTATATATATAAAATACATACATACATACATATATATATATCTCACAAATGCTTATTATTACTAAGCATACAGTGTAGTATACTATTAAAGATTTTTTTTTAAAGTGTGTCAAACTCAAGTACTTCTTACCTGAAATTTTCTCCTTTATGATTTTATATCGCTGGAAGTAGTTCAATGGCACAGTGTTTGCCTAGGATGTGCTAGGTCCTGGGTTTGACCCCCAAGCACCATGGAAGGAAAAGAAATGATGTTACTTTACCTCATGGATGCTAAAAGACTATGCTAGAAGGTTCAATATGGTCTATTTTATGTCTTTAAGCACAAAATTTCAAATGCTAAAATTATTTGGTATCAAACAAATGAAAGGCTCAAAACAATAACCCGTAAGTTTTCCCCACGGCCTGCCACCTGTTGCAGTCCCAGAGACCATCCAGGTCAGGAGGCCGCACCCCAAGCACACACTCCAGAGGCAGACAGAAACACAGACAGCAGAGACACACCTGCTAAAGGATACATTTAATTTTAACAGAGCAAAGACATGGCTTTTCGAAGGTCATGTGATAGCTTACCATTCCAGTGTCACCTGAAAAGATAAGGGACAAGTTCTTCTCTAACTGCTCCCAACAGTTCAAAGGAAACAGAGCATCAGAGTTTTGACGGTGCTGCAAACTTCCTTTAGGGACAAGGAGAATGCAATTTCATGAATGTTCATTCTTAGTCTGGAGAGGCAGAGCGAGAGGGGGGAATGAGAAGAGGAGAATAAAAACTAATTTTCCAGGCAGGGAAATACTTATAAAACCTTTTATGTCAAAGTTAGGGTTTTAAAACATCACATACTAATGCAAAATCCAGTAGCACCTGTAGGGTTGAGGGGATACTGCCACTGCTTCAATGCTTTAGATACCCTTAACAGACCGAGCAAAAGAGCAAGTACATTCTCCAGAGGACAAATGTATTTCAAAATAAAAACTGTATTTTTGTTGTTTTTTTTTTTCCAGTTTTTGCTTTTGTACAAGATTTCATAGTTATAATAACGTATACACAAATGGGATTGACCTCTGCTCTCCTCCTGTGTCGCTGCAAGTCCACATTTCAGGCTATAGTCCCCAACATTAGGTTCTGATCAATACGTTACCACAGTTTGATCTAAATATAGATACATTATATAATATTTATCTCTGGGAAAAATCAAATTTTAATATGCAAATGTTTATATAATACAGCAATGGAAGAAGCTACAGTAGGCACACAACCTATGACTTAGAGGCGATGGGTTCTAGGTGCCCCTCTAGTGTAAGTGAATGTCTGAAATAGTCTTAAGAAGGTTTTATTTATATGTGCACTTGTGTCCACCTTATCCCAAGTACTGTACATGTCATGTCTACTGACAAGCTGGGAAGTTATAGGTGCAGCCCTCAAGAAATTGTTAAGTTACTAAAAAAAGAAACAATTAGGCTCTATTGGACATGGAAAACACTCACAAAATTTCCAATTTTAAATTTCACAGCAGTAGGAAAATATTAAAAATAATTTCTGTATATACATATAGGTATATGTATATATTGAATTACACATATGCCTCACATTATCAGTACAATTCAAGTGGAGACATTTTGGTGAGTTATTTTCCCATTAAATGATCACTATCCCAAAATTTAAAAATATTTTATTACATCATTAAAATAATTCACTTACCATATCAACAGCTTACACTGTTTTTTTTTTTTTTTTAATTTTTTTAAACTCTTTGTAACTAAATTCCCTGATCCCTAGTGTTAGTCCTCTATTTAAATTAAAACCTGGTATTCCTTGATACTCAGAGACTCAGATAAAATCGTATCTGTTTTCAAAATTCTATTCATCACATAAATTTTATTACCTGATTTATCAGAGAAATATCTCAGCTCTGAGCATGTGTACCTAAATTATTCTCTCTATAATAAACAGGTAAGAAAAATACCCTAAAATAGATGGAGTGACTGATGTGATGTTATAGGACATATAATACATGATGATTAAGTGTCTGATACAGATTTTTCAGAGACACCTCACCATAGAAACTAACTTTAGAAACAAACCATTTATTTTTCACTCTAATATAAATTGATATATATGTATGTATTTACATACATACACATAAATATAAAACAAAATTAGTAGTAAGAATCTGTTTATGAGTGAAAAAAATGGGTTAATCTGCTTCTTTGTACTTAACAATTCAATCATTTGGGGTACAAACAAAAAAAAAAAAATCAGTGCATTCATTGACTCCAGAGTTAGGTACTCAAGCATACACTAAAAAGAACCCTCTTCAACATCACAGGCATTGTACAGCAAGAATATATGTATTCCGATGCGATTCCTACTCGGGCAGAGCAGACAGCACTTGGCTTGCTTTTAAAATAGCTTTGTGAAAGAAATGTATCATATAAAGAAATGCATGTTTGCTAAATGTCTTAAAATTACATCAAAACAACACTAAAACCTGCTCTCTGAGAAGAGCCTGTTGAAGGTATTTCCTGTCTGGAAATGCCTAGTTAACAGTTCAAAATATTGCCTTGTGAAGTTTGAATAAAGACATGTTTTCAGTGAAGACCCATCTGCCACGGTCACAATTTAAATACAGTCCTCTGATTGGCTGATAGGTGGAAGTGGACCTCCTTGAAATCAGCTATACACCTTATAATTACCTATAATAAACCATAACCATTATTTTTTCATAAATTGAAATTCATCGATCACTCAGAAAAGATTTCTTGCCAAATATATAAATAAGTATAACTGCATATTTTCTGTAAATGTACTTAATGTTGCTAGCCTAAACCACTAAGGATGGACTGCTTTTATTTCAGTTCGGTGTGTCAAATTTACTATAAAAGAAAAATATCTGAGGGACTCAGCTGCCTTTGTTTAATTGGCTTTAAAATGTGTAATAAAGTGGGAGACAGTATCTTTTCATAAACACACGAATCAATATGGAAAAGTAAGTAAACTATACAGCAGACAAGATTGGAGAACAGCAGAGTGTACCACAGGAGCCACTCGAGCGAAACACTCCGAGTACAAAGAGGAGGAGCTGCAGGCACCCATTTACAGGGCGCTTCAGTTGAAGACGTAGCTCTCTCCCACACCTGGCAAGAATTAATTGGTAATGGCCCTGCTTCTCAGCAGTGCAAAAATATCCTGAGAAATTATTTGGATAACAACAAAAGACAGGGCTCTAAATTTTCGCACAAACACAGCTGTAGATATCATAAATAAATTAACTTAAAAAGCAGATAATCTTCACTGTGTTGAACAAAAAAAAGGAGAAAGGACCCAGACATTGTTAATTCTCCCATTGGCTAATATTGGGGGGGGGGGGATAAAAGATTGCATTAAGTGTCTACTTATAACTTTCTAGTTAACTATGGCCAATATACATGGAGGTAATTTGTAGTTCAAGTTTTTCATGTCTTTTTCTCCCCAACTAGCTACAAGCTAAATTCTAAAATTTATACTGAAATATACAATTCCAATTTTCAAAACACCCTCCTCCTGGAGGGATGATATGCAAAAAGTTTTGTGCAATCTTGGTGCAGAACCCAAACAGTCCTACGAAGACAGACAGTATCTTTTCATCAGTTGGCACTGAAATTTCACTCTCCTTAGCTGCATTCTAGTAGTTTGGCCAAATTATCTCTCAACTCTGTTAGTTCAAATATTTTCCCATCCAGGATTTCTAAGAGCGTCTTCAGGTCCCTTCGGAAGGCCTCCTGCTCGCTCTGACTCTTCTCCAGGCGCTGCTCTACGTCAGACAGCTGCCCCTCCAGGTCCTTATTTCGAATCTCAACTTCCTTCAGAAACAAAAGTTAACACATGCACATGTCAGTTTGGTGTTTGCATCAATACAACTTTCCGCTGTCCCTAGTGTCTTCTAGAATAAGTCTGACTTGCAGGCTGAGCTTCTGACACTCAGGTTCATACACCTGTTCTCCCAATAGCACGAGCACGAGGCAGCTACTCAGGGCTTCACCCCAGGGAGGCTTCAGGCACTTGTCAGGAAAGGCAGAACACACACCTGAGCATCCTTCAAACCTCGTTTTATTGCTGCTCATTTGTAACTGAGAAATCAGGTGAGAGTAGGCAGAGGCAGGAGAAAGTACTTTCTCCCAACAGGTAACTCTAAAGTAAGAGTTCAAAGAAAAGCAACTCCCTGAAATGAGATTATAAGATTGATACTGATACTGATCTTACATTCAGGAATGTATGTGTTAGGCTATACAACAGCTCAACTCTAAAGGCCATAAATAAGATACAGTAACTACATGTATCAGAAGTATAAAACTGACAACTCCAGGCTGAAAATCCAGGAAAAATGAAAAAATAAAAAATAAAAAGCATAATTTTTGACAATAAAAAATATTTAAAATTTTTAATATGGTTTAAATGCCAACAAACTAAGGATTATTTAGAAGTTATTAATGGCTTTTAACAATGTTTCTAAGCACGACAAATACTATATAATAAAGCAAATCCATAAAACCAAAATTACATGAGTAATGATTTAACTTTAATTTTAAAAACCAAATTTATAGCTGGAGAGATGGCTCTCTGTTAAGAGCACTGGCTGCTTGCTCTTGTAGAGGACCTGGATTCAATCCGGCACCCACATGGCCCCCCAGACCCAGCCGAACTCCAGTTCCATGAGATCCGACACCCTCTTCTGGCCCCCAAAGGCACTGCATACATGTAGTGCATAGACATACATACAGACAAAGCATGTATCAGAAGTATAAAGCTGACAATTCTAGGCTGAAAATCCAGGAAGGAAAAAAACAACATACACATAAAAACAAAGATCTATTTAAAAAAAAAAAAGGAAAGAATTTTGATATTTGAATTATGAATATTTTTCTTGACATTAATTTTTTACCTAATTTTCTCAAAAATAAATTAGGGACAAAAAGATAGCTCAATAGGTAATGACACTTGCTTCCGAAATTCACAACTTAAGCTGGTGTAGTGGCACACACCTTTAATCCTACTACTGGGGAGGCAGAGGCAGGTGGATCTCTGTAAATTCACAGCCAGTCTGGTCTACAGAGTGAATTTCAGAGCCACATAGTGAGACCTTGTCACAACAACGACGACAACAATAAAGACGACTCACAACCTGGGACACACATGGTAGAGGGAGAGAACAGACTCCACAAAGTTGCCCTCTGATATTCACATATTCACTGTGGCACACACGCATACTAACACATAGGTAAACAATAAGAACATATATGCAATAAAAACATTGAAGTCTTGAGAAAAAGAACTGGGAAAATGGACTTGAAAACATTAATGAAAGTAACAGTTGATAATTCTGAACATAATCATGTGACTCAGTAGTGGTAATTCTGAAGAAGGCTTGAGCAACATTATAACACTTCCCAGATAAGCTGCCATGTGTGGGAGAATTAAGAGAAAAACAGAACATGTATAATGTATAAATGAAGAGAGTAAAGACCCGATCAAATCTCAAAGTATTTGCTAGCTGGTGTTAGCCACGTCAATGTTGGCCACATGCGATTTCAATCATCCTTTAAATAATCTGCAGGGTGAAGATAGCTAGTAAAAGAATCAGGAATCAGTGTTTACAAATTCGGAAGCTAAATCCACAGACACTGTGAACTATTAGGGAGGAACAGATCCTGTGATCAAATGTAAAAATTCCACTCATGACTACACAGAGTGCTCTCCTGCACTTTAGCTACAAGCTTGGGGACAGAATGTTTCCAGCTACAGAAATAGACCAAGTGTCACCACCATGTTCACTTCACAGCCACAGCCTGGTTTGCCCTCTGCAGTCTTCCTTAGAAATGAAAGACTCCCTTGTACGCCTTGCCAACCAATGAAACACCCAAACATCTTAAATGGAACCATACAAAACACTACTCCCTCAGTTGTTAAAAGAGCCTTATACTCTCTAGAATGGATGGCCAACTCCAAGATGTGTCTCTGTAGGAATTTTACTAGTTAAATGACAAATAGCACTAGCACAATGCAGATGGCACCAATCTATTTTTAGATGGGGAGAATATGTTTGTAGGTTAAGAATAGAAAACCTAGAGAACAGGGGCCAACTAGGTGTGACTGAAGTCACAGCAAGCACCTTTCCGAGCCTGGGCACTCACTCGCCAATCCACTTTCTGGCCAGCGCTTGTCTCTCCAAGCTTGTCTTCTACCATCATTTTTGTCTATTGATTTCCTAGACTTTTAGTGCACATGAGGGGCACCAATCTCACACTGTAGATTTTAAAAAGGAAGGAAGAAAGAGAGGGAGGGAGGGAGAGAGGGAGAGAGGGAAGTAAAAGCACTTTATAGGCCAGATTCTCATATCCCTTTTAGAGGGTTTTAAAGGCCAAAAACCAAAGGTACAAAATTCTACTAGGCAAAGGTCGTATTCTATATGTGCTATATGTTAGACACTCAAACACTCGAAATTTTTTTTAAAATTACATAACTATAACCACTGCAACCAGGTTTGTTTAATGTTCTCTTCATTTAAATCCTGCACCATTCAATCTTAAAAAAAAAAAAAAAAAGCCAGACAAAAGTTATCTTATGGATATTTGCTTCACAGCTTATACTTAAAATATTAAGTCTATAATTAAGATATATTAATGTCTTATTAGACTTTCCACATAACAGGACATTTACATCAATAAGAGAAGCATCAATAATTCATTTCTACACAGAAAAACATGGGTAAAAGAAATGTATGCATTTTGCAGGAGTTATTTAACAATTAATTATTAGACATCTTTTATTCGGTACTGGGAATAAAATATTCAGCAAAGGTAAAATGGTCCCTATTTAATACACCATGCTTTCTAGGGGAAGATATTAGCAATAAAGAAATAGAAGGCATTTCTGAATGGAAAAGATGATGAGAGTCTGTACACTGACATCTGCCAGTCATCCTCTACAAACCATATGAACACACAATGACAATAAAGTTGTGAAAATTTCAGGACTTCAATATTACTAAAGACAGAGGACAAAGCAAGTGTCAAATCGCTGGCAGTCAGAGACCCTGAGTAACAATTTCTGATGGCCTGTTTCTCAAGCTGTCCCTCTAGTCCTTTCCAGAGGGAGTATGGCTGTGCAGGGGACAGAAAGAGGAAGACCTCTGTGACTGCCCACACAAGAATCAAAGCTTGGCAGGACAGAGCTGTGGAACATTTGAGGGACTTAAGTGCAAGCGACACCTCTTCAGAAAAGAGAGTCAAAGGCAATGGGCCTTGTAGTGCAGCAAAGGGCAAAAGAAGACAAACTTTAAACTCGTTATATAAAGAAAAATTAAAACATTGAAACACACACAACCTTTCTACTATTGCCCCTCAAAAAAAAAAAAGAGGGTGTTTGAACTATGACTTTATAAGGCACTTTAAACTGCCATTCTGTCTACAAAAATGAAAAGGTATATAATACTCATTCATAAAACAATAAAAATACTAAGTGATAGAGTAAAAAACAACAAAAAATTCCTCGAACCAATTACAAAACAGAAAACATTTTAAACATGATATTTCATGCTGAGTTATGGTTAACATAAAAGTACTCAAAAAGGAGTACCCCAAATTTAGGTACCCCAAATTAAGGATTTGGGCTGGAGAGATGGCTCAGTGATTAAGGTCCGGGTTTGGTTCCCAGCACCCACACAGCAGCTGACAGCAGTCCCAGAGTCTTCAATGACCTCCTCTGGCCTTTGACGGTACTGCAAACATGTGATATCCAGGCAGAACATGCAGGCAAAACACCCATACACGCACAATGAAAACAAATGGATCAAAAGACGAGAGCAACAAAAAAATCCCCCCAAAACTAAGGGCACTACCCTGAAAAGCAGGGGAGTTGATTAAATTGGTGAAAGAACCAAGAAAAAAAGAAGGGGGAGGGGAGTAATCCCATCAGAAATGAAGCGTAAGGTCCCTACCAAAATCAAAACACAAAAAGTTTTTACTAACACTTATAAATTCATTCACTGCTCCTCAATTAAAATTCAAGAGAATGAAAGGAAATTAAGTAGAGAAAAACCAGAAAAAGGTGGAAATAGAAGACAAGAAAATTCAATTACATATTAGATACATTGCAGAAGAAAAATAACATAAGAATAAATATTTAAATTTTATGTGTGAAACATTTTATTAACTTGCTACTGGGTATGTCTAGGGAAACCTAGTGAGGCTCTCTCTACAAGAATCAAGAGATAAAGTCCTTGGATATATACTATTATTGCTGCTGTTGTTATTATTTGACACAGGGTCTCACTATGCAGCCCCAGATGGCCTATAATTTGTGACCAGGCTGATCTGGAACTCACAGAAATATGCTAGACTCAGGATTAAGTGTATACATCATGCCCAGCTGGATAAGGAAATTAAAATGGCCCACTAATACTTGAGAAAAGTGACTTTCAACAATCACTTTGAGAAAAAAAAAATTTTTTTTTTTTTTTTTTTTTTTTTTTTTGAAAATAAAAGAAAAATCCTCAGCACAGCATGTGAGCAAACCAAGACCGAAACTGCAGGCCAGCTGACCCAAGCCAGAGTCACCCTGCCCGGGCGCCCAGGTGCCCGGGCACCAGGGCACCCAGGCACCCAGGCCAGCCCGCCCTGAGCCAAGCCTGCCTCTATGGTCAGAGACTGCTGATGCAGAGACACCAACCTGAGATAATAATGAGGAAAGGGCCACACAGCAGAGTCAGCCACTGAGCCAATGGGACCTTAGGAGGGCGTGTGAAGGCCGGCCTAACTTCCTTAACAAAGGAGTCTGCAGCGCTTGGCTACTCATGGACTCCCAGTGCCTGAGTCACTGGCTGTGCGTCTTCTCACCCCCTCCCCCAAGGGGTGTCCCAGCAGGGTCACCCACCACAAGGCAAGAGAATGAGAATTAGAATGAGACTTCTCAACAATGACATTGATTGGGACTAGAATGGTTAAGACAATGGAATATAAAGAAAAATAAATTTAACTATTTAATGAATACTTTGCCCAACTGAGATCCCTTCAGTTGGGAAAGCTAACCTGACTATTTTTCTTAATGTTTATTTATGCCCATATGTATGTGTAGGGTGCCATGTATATACTGATGCCTGATGCCTGTGGAGGTCAGACAGTGTCAGATCCCCCAGAACTAATCATAGTGTTGTGAGCTGCATGACTTGGATGCTGGGACTGATCTGGTCCTCAGGATGAGCAGAAAGTACCCTTAACAGCAGAACCAGCATTTCAGCTGGATTTGAGTGGTCTAGCCTCCCCTATTTCCACACTTAGAAACTTGGTTCCTGTTTTCCAGAGTATGTCACCTGCTCAGCCCTAGAAAGCACAGAAAGTAGTTTCTGACTGACACCATGATCAAACAAAAACAAAAATCCCAAACCTAGTAGCTACAAAAAAAAAAAAAAAAAAAAAAAAAAACAAACCAACCTATCTTTATCTTTAGTGAATATTCAAGTTCGTTGGTTTGGGGCTGGGGAAAGCTGTCATTTGTCATCTATCACTGCACAGTATCCTACTGCAAAAAGAAGCTATAAGGATAGTCTCAGGTTTTAAACACACACACACACACACCCCTACTGAAAATGATGCAATACAGTTGTACTTAAGGTTACTAAGGAGGACTAGAAGTTATGATGCCATGATGGCAGCAAAAGCATACGTAGCCCAGACTCTGTTTCCTTTTGTTTGTTTGTTCTTTGGCAATACTAGAGAATCAAATCCCGGGCTTCGCATATGCTAGGCAAGCACAGAGATATATGCTCTGCCTTTACAGGCTGGCTTGGCCCCCACCCTTTCCTTCCTTTACTGAGACAGGGGACTCTGTGCAGCCGCGGCAGGCCTCGGACTCTCTAAATAGAACAGGTGGCCTCAAACTCAGAGGTCTGGCTACCTCTGCTTCCCAAGTGCTAGGATTAAAGACATGTACCACTACCACCCGGCTCAAATTAAAATAATATTTCCCAAAAGAAATTAGAGAGGGTTTTTAGAAAAAAAAAAAAAAAAAAAAGACTAATTCTGAACTGGGACAATGGTTCACAATGGTTAAAACTCTCAGAAGTGTGAGGTTGGAGCTTGAATCCCCAGAACCCATGTAAATGCAGGGTGGATGTACTGGGTGGTTTTGTGTTAACTCAACACAAGCCAGAGTCATCAGAGGAAGAAGCCTCAGCCCAGGAAACGTCTCCATGAGATCTCATTTAATGATCAATGGGGGAGGGATCAACCCAGGGTTGAGCAAGCCATGGGAAGCGAGCTGGTGAGCAGCATCTCTCCATGGCCTCTGCAAAAGCTCCTGCCTCCAGGTTCCTGCCCTGCTTGAGTTCCTGTTCTGACTTTCTTGGCCAAAGAGGCTCTACTCAGCCAAAGGTAGAACACCAAGATAAACAGACATGACCAACAGATAGAGCATTGGAACCACGGAATGGATGGGTTACTGTAATTTTGTTATAAAAGGGACTAAGATAATTATAGGCATTTGATTAAGGTATGGATAGATAACTTCTTGATTTTGATGGCTATGCAAGTAAAGATCTTTCGTTTTAGAAGAGGAACAATGAAGAATTTAGAGGGGAAAAGCGTATGTGCCTCTTAGTCTCAAGCAGTTCAGAAAAGAGACATAACATATAGACGCACATGGAGAGTGAAAGAAAGGTCAGGATGGCGTGGAGGGACAGCCTGCAAATTATAAACAAACAGGACCAATACATTAAGGCTTGGGGAAAGTAAGGGAAAGACATATAATGAATTATTCTTGCAGCTTTTCTCTAAGTCTAAAATTGTTTCAAAATAAAAAGTTTAAAAATACATCAGAAACAACTAAGATCATTGCAAATGGTGATAACTACAAGATGGAGAATGAAGCTCGGTAACAGAACAAAGCATGCTTGGGAATGGGGGACTTAGTAGGCATCGGAACAGCAGTGCCTAAGTGGGCAACTCAGAAGTGAACTTCTGAGCTGACTTGCATTGCAGGGAGAAGCCAGGGGAACACGGTGGCCTGGTGGCTTAGGTTTTCAAGCAAGGACACCCATGTGCTCTTAAGGTGAAAGCACAACGAACACCCTAAAGATGAATGGAGGTGACAGGGCAGTGATACAGCTCATCAGATGAAGACTGCTGAGTTTTCTATCTGCATATGCACCTCCCATTCAACCCCACAGACCTCAGAGTCGGGTTTCTTCCAGCTCCACAGAACAGGATGGCCTAGTTCTCTAGACTTCTAAGGGAGAGTCAAGGGTACTGAGACTTTCGATAATAGATGTCCCATGTAGACTTTTCATGATAATACTCGACATTCAATGAAAGAAGTGTTAACAGCTGATACAATTTTAGGGACCTGCCATTAAATTAAACTATTACTCAACTGACAAGAAAACACACTTAGAAATATTAACAGAGATGTTTAATGTGAGTTTGATATGCTAAGAAGATTGAATAAACCTCTCAATTTCTCTTTCCAAGTGGGTCACTGCCAATATGACAAAAATTTACACAGATAAACATTTTAAAGAGACTCATTAGGAAAGTATTGTAAGCACACTGCAGTTAGAGTAAGAATGCCCCCCATATATATGTGAATGCCTGGTCCCCCACTGGTGACACTGTTCTGGGAAGGGTTAAGAGGTGTGGCCTTGCTGGAGGCAGCTTGTCACTGGGGTGGGCTTTGTGTGCTCTTGGGCCAGGCACTCTGTGCCTGCTGCCTGCTGCCACAATCCCTACTGTGATGTGATCATCATGGACTCACCCTCCGCAACTGTAAACAAACCCCAATTAAATGCTTCCTTTTATTAATTGCCTTGGTCATGGTGTCTTTTCACAGCGATAGACAGTAACTAAGACACATACAAAGAGTAGGCCAGAATCAAACAATGGAAGCGTCAGTCCTTTGTAGCTCTGTGTCTCCGATCACATTCTTCCCTCCAGCCCCAATTACATGTATCATACTCAGCCCCACCAGGGCCTCTCAGCCTCAGCACCCTGACATTTAGGGCCACATGATCAACGCCATTCATCAGCATCACTGCCTTGACCATTGCGTGATGGTAACTCTCCTAGTAACGAAGCTATAAAATGTCTTCACATATTAGTAAGTGATCTTTAGGATACTGAGCTGCCGGCTGAGAATCGGGACTCTACATGGAGTTTAAAGTCTAGAAATAACACTTTCTAGGGTAGTCCCAAACAGGCAATCTTTCCTCTCGGTTGGCTGAAGGGTCGCAACAGGCGTGACAAGTGAAACGGGGTGGGGGCTGTTTCATGTAGGAACCCTGTTTCCTTTTTCTGCTTTTCCTTGAGACAAGGCCTCTCTGTGGAGCCCTGGCTGTCCTGGAACTCATATGCAGACCAGGCTGGCTTCAAACGCACAGAAATCCTTCTGCCCCTGCCTCCTAAGTACTGGGATTCAAAGTGTGAGAAACTAGGCCTGGCCAAGTCTGTTTTCTTTCTGAAGGGTTACCACTGTTGCAGACTTCGGTGGTCAAGGACAGAGGCATTAAAGTTTGCCTGTCTCGATCTTGGGTTGGGCAAGTTACTTTTCTTCAAGCCCTGGGTTCCTCTGCATTGCACTGTGGTGTTCTGATACAGTTTATAAGGAGTGTTTGCAGCAGCTGTACACAGCAAGTACTGATGCTGAGTCCTCCTATAAACTGGTCCTCCTCCCACTCCTGGGCTTCCAGGTTCTCTTCATATGTCTCTGACAAACTGCTCACTTTGTGAACACACTTCTTTCTGTTCTAACGTGCTTCTAGGGGCTGGAGAGATGGCTCAACAGTTAAGAGCCCTGGCTGCTCTTCCAGAGGTCCTGAGTTCAAGTCCCAGCAACCACATGGTAGCTTACAACCATCTGTAATGAGATCTGGTGCCCTCTTCCGACCTGTAAGGATACATGCAGACAGAACACTGTATACATAATAAATAAATCTTAGAAGAAAACAAACAAACAAACAAAAAACAAACAAACAAAAAAAACAAAAAAAAAAAAAAAGAAAAGTGCTTCTAACCCTTTTTGAGGCAGATAGCTTAAGCTAGCAAAAGGCAGCTTAGGAATGAATTTTGAAAAATCTTTCTACATCTAACTCCTACCAACACAGGATGCATGTATGTCAACTAGAATCAGGAAGCATGTTAAGTATGCAGAAAAATAGGCAAAAATGATTAAGGCCAATGAAAGGAAAAGGGGTGACATCTGCCCCATGATGGTACAGGAATGCCAGATTCCAGACAGTAGCTAGGCACACTAAATAAAATCCGTCTGAGATGTTTCCCCTTAATTTTAAGGTACCTTTTAATGATAAAAGTAGAAGTTTCCAAAGTACTATACTAACAACAATTTGTAAATGACCACCAATGATTACAAACTACCTTAAAGAAGTAAACAGGGAAAGTCTAGAACAGTGAACGTTAGGCATGAATCAGAGGTACTAGGGGAAATAAAAAATAAAAATGAAGGCACAAAAAAGTCATTATGATATGAAAGGATGACTAACACTTTCTGTATAGAATCAATTAACGATTTTACTTAGCTCACCTGCAGTTTCTGAGTCAGAGAGTCCCTCTGCTCTTGAAGTTCTCTGGCATTATCGATTTCTTGTTTTAACCTTTCTATTTCCTGGAAAAGGTAAAGTAATGTCTTTAACAACATTTAACTTAAAATAAGGAGAGGGAAGAACTAAATTTCCCTTGAAATTAGTTCCCAGGTCTGAGGGAAGAGTAACTAAAAAAAACCACCCTTTATTGACTTTCAGAGGGATATGTGTCTGTATAGGTTTGTTGCCTGGAACAGAGTGAAGTTTCCTTCTTCCTTGCTTGGAGGTAGGGCAGGGTCTCACACTGTACCCCATCCCTTAAACTCACTGCACACAAGAGCTGGCTTCAACTCAAGAGCTTCCTGCCCTGGCCCCCAAATCCTGGGACTCCAGGCATAGTACCACATGCCCAGTTCAGAAAGATTTCTACCCTCAAGTATAATCGGATGGCTTTAGCCATAGCACTAAATACATAGCTTCAAGTTTGAGATACTATTTCCCCCTTAGTACATAAAGTAGTTCTTTTTGACTAGAAACCAAAGAAAGCATCAACTTGCAAAAATTCATTTAATCTCTAATGGTTTCCTGTCGATTACATAACTCTCATACAAAAGTTCAATAAATAGTTCAACACAGTTAATAACAACAGCAGAAACATGGCTGGGGAAAACAGGAACAAGCTTCATAATATTCAGCCCAAGTTTTATCTTTGACACAAAAGCCCACAGTCCCACTCTACTGCAGATAGCACTTCAGACCTGACAGTAGCTGTGCTGCAGTGCTAGCTGGACCACAGGGGATCGGGGAGTGGAGCCTACCTCCTCCTTCTCTTTCAGGGTCTCTTCCAGCTCTTGGACTGTCTGGTTTAGTTCTGCCTTGTGGGTGTGCACAGCATTTGCTTGACTGCTAACACACTCAAGCTCAGTGACCTGCAGTTAAATGAGAACACAGGTTAAATTAAGGGGCAATTTCAAAGGGCTTCCGGAAGTCACAGTAAGCTCCTGAGAAGTTAATGAATTTTGAATTACCAAATGAAAGACAATAAAGATTCTCAGCATAAAATACATTCCCTAAAGATAAATATTTAAGGCGATGGCAAAAAACAAAAGATTATTAGATAATTTGGGAATGATAAATTATTCAAATATTAGTCAGAGCCAGGTTGGGGGGAAACAAAGTGAATAATCACTGCAGAGGACTTTATAAGGAAAGCTCCTTAGAATTTATACAAGTATAGCTACGACTGTCTGATTTCCCCATTTGAAGTCTTCAGGTACATGTGGGTTCTGAAAACTGGCCTTGAAGAAGGATTTTTTTAAAAATACATTTCCAAAACACGAGAGAATCTGAAATGAAAGACATACTTAAAAACACTGTAAGAACTTGGCTATTAGAATGACTTCATGTCAACTGTGCCTCTTATGGGAAAGACAACAGTTCTTCAGTCACTAAGAATATACCAAGAGCCAACAAGTAATATTGTTTTTTACTAAATACTTGACACCTTTTTAAGATAATGGAAAAGATCAGTGTTCTTAAAATTTATGCACCCAAGTTAATACAAGAAGAAATCATGGATACATTTACAGACACCCTACCACAGCTTGACTTGAACCTTCAAAACAGCACATCATCCTCTATATTCTGTACGGGTTTCTTTCACACTCTACTCCCCTTCTGCATAGGTACTAATATGCTCCCTTACATAGACATATATTACTTAGGACTGAACAAATGCTCCTGCAGCAGATTTAATTACAACTGTGGTCTCTCTATCTTCTTAGATACTCCGGAACTGCTAGCAAATTAATCTTTCACTGTATGACATTCTTTTTATAATATTAAATCTACATTTGTATTTTCTTCCTTTCACTAATGAGGATTGAACTCAGGGCCTTTTACATGTGAAGCAAGCACTATCTCACTGGGCTGTGCCACCAGACACCATGGTAAATTAAATCTTAGGGCCTATCCAATCATCTGCTTTGGCACAGCTGAAACTACAATCAGTCCATTTGTTTTCAAGAGCTATATAATCTTCATTCTCATTAAACTGTGACAAATATTTTTCTTGAGCCAGGAAAACGGGAAACTTAGCTCATATGCATTCCTGATAAGCAAAGGATACCCCTAGAAGGTTTCCATGTACACGTGAGTTTCCCTTCACCCCCAGCGCTGGCCTTACCCGCTTGTGTAGCCGCTCTGCCTCCTCCTGATAGGCAGCCAATTGTTGCTTCCATTGTTTCACGTTGGCAGTGGATTCCAGCAGGGCTGCAGTGAGCTTGGCATTGTTTCCTTTGAGGGTAGCTAGCTCAGCCTCCCAATGCTTGCTGATTGCTGAACTAAAACAAAATGAAGAGAAGATTCTGTCATTTCCCTGAGTATTGTTTCTCAATGGACAACAATATTTAATTCTATTATTAGGCTTATAGTCTAAAGATATTTCAAAGACAACCCCAAACAATAAAACCCAGAAAGTGCTTCTAGAATGGAATACTTCTAATAGGTAAATGTGATACATATTATATACATATAATATACTCAAAAGCCAAAAATAATACCTAACAATGTAGTATACTGTTTAAGGGTACCAATGTTCGCTACAGTTTCATTCCTCAGTGGGGACATATAAGGATGCTTACATAACAACAAGGTTGGAACAAGTATAGTATTTTTTTTTAAATTACTGATTTGTGTCTTTATATTCAGAATTTTTAAATGTTCCAATACAGACATGTATTATAATAATTATAATAAAATCATTTCATATGATATGTTGGATCAAGAAATTGTTCCTAATAACTTCTATTCATTGGGAAGGCCCCTCTCTTGATAATTACTCTGTTAATTTTCAAATGGAGAATTGTCTTATTTGAAAGAAAATGATGGTTTCACTTTTTCATTTTTGACTTTCATTCTAATTAATAAAATTCTACTAACTCTGTCCCATTGACCAGTGATGCCTACAGCTTTCTTTAATCAATGATTTTGTACATAGTATCAGTTTGCATCACAAGGCATGTTTTATAAACTGATACTTCATAATAATTGCAATATATTAAAGGCAGTTTCCATCATCAAAATTTCTAAAGCTTTATACCAGTTTTAAGATATGTCCATATTATAAGCCCCTGACAGGGCAGAGGAGGACAGCAGATCATTTCCAATGGCAGTCTTAATAGAAGAAAACAAACTCAAATTGTTAATCAAATAAGAAAGCTATATATAGACCCAAATTTAAGCATATTTTTCAAAATAATTAACTGGAATACTTAAAATTATGACGAAAAGATTGAGGACCAGAACAGAGACTGGAGATAACAATGAAATACACTGTAGAACCCTTGGGTAGGTTCCCCAAATGGAAAAGGACCATTGGGTTTGCAGGTGTAAGGTACTTGCCTAGCATGGGAGATGCCCTGGGTTCGATCCCCCGCACTGCCAAAGAAACAACAAAAAGACTCATGAGTGAAAGGCCGGACTTAGTTGGTATTATCCTAACAGCGCTGATCCCCTAAGTCTGACGATTACACTGCAAGCATGAAAGACATTAATTAAGGATACCGGGTAAAGGGGATATGGGGCTGCAGATTCATAACTTTGCTGTAAATCTAAAATTAGCTTTAATTGTTTCTAAAGTTTACCAGTTAACAGTATCTCATCAAAACATTAAAAGGACAGAATAAAGCAATAAGTGAAGCTATCAAATTAGCCAACCACTTTTATTCTCAAAAAAGAAACACTTTTCAAATTCTTCCTTTGTGGAATGACTGTAGATTTAGGTTTTCTAAGAAAAACATGTTAACTATTCACCTGCTCTAAATGACTTAGTTTTTGTTAAAACCACCGACTAGTTTCCCCCAGAAGTGTTTCATTTAAAGGGACTCTTCAATCTGATAAGTGAGATCATACTGAACTAATTTAAACATTTGATATATGTAATTTATTTAAAATTAAAATGACTTTAAATGCTTATTTCTAAAATCTATTTGTCAGAAAACAGTACCATTATGAAGACCAATAGAGAAAGAATGAGGGCATTTAAATACATATTATCTTGGGTTTATTTTACAATTGATTGATAGAAACTCCATTAAGAATTTGGTAACTTGGGCTGGAGAGATGGCTCAGAGGTTAAGAGCCCTGGCTGCTCTTCCAGACCTCTTGAGTTCAATTCCCAGCAACCACATGGTGGCTCACAATCATCTGTAACAAGATCTGGTGCCCTCTTCTGGGCTGCAGGGATACATGCACCGTGTAGTAGTAGTAGTAGTAGAAGAAGAAGAAGAAGGAAGAAGAAGAAAGAAGAAGAAATAATAATAATAATAATAATAATAATTTGGTAAGTCAGTCGATGTCTGTGTTTCAATTATTATGATTGTGATACTAAACCCATATCTTAACTACATTGATCCTCCAGCCTTTAACATGTTAAAGAAAGAGATCAGTCAAGCATTGTTCAAATGTGGCTATTCACATTTTCAACATTAATAAAATTAAAAATTCACTTTTTAGTCTCATTCAGCACACTCCATACAGTCCATAACCACAAGCTGCACATGACTGGTGGTCAGCAGAGACATAGAACATTTAACTGCCGCACAGGGCTTTGAAGGACAGGATCTCTACATTTGAACGAGGTTTTCAATGTCTTCTGTTACAGGTTCAATGGTAGCCCTACAACCTAAATCTATGTATTGAAGTCCTAGCTCTTAGAGTATCACAGTATGACTGAATTGAGAGATAGGTTTTTAGAGTGGCAGGAGTAAATGAGCTCTTTGGGGGTGAACCTAATTCACATGGCCAGTGTATTTATCAGAAAAGATGCGACCATCTAAGTGCACATTTAAAGGATTTTCAAGTGTCTTGGTTACAGTTTGTATTGCTTCAGTGGAGACCATGACCAAAAACGAGTTGGGGAGAAAAAAGTTTGAGTGGCTTATACTTTCATATTGTAGTCCATCACTGAAGTAAGCCAACAGGGACTCAAGCAGGGCTACAATCAGGGCGGGAGCTGGTGTAGATGCCATGGAAGGACCCTGCCTACTGGCCTGCTTCCCATTGCCTCTTCGGTCTGCTTTTTTATAAAGCCAGGACCACCAGGGTGGCACCATCCACAATGGGCTGGGCCTTCCCCCATCGATCATTAATTAAGAAAATGCTCCAAAGGCTTGCCTACAACCTGATCTTTTTTAAAACATTAATTTATTATGCATTATGTTTTATACAGTGTATGCCTGCAGGCAAGTAGAGGTTACCAGAGGTTACACCATGTGGGAGCTGGGAATTGAACTCAGGACCTCTGGAAGAGCAGCCAGTGCTCTTAACCACTATTTCTCCCTACAACCTGATCTTATGGAGGCATTTTCTCAGTTGAGGTTCCTCCTTAAACAAGACTCCAGCTTGTGTCAAGCTGACATAAAACTATTCGGCACATCCAGTACCTTCAAATTTGATGGTTATTTAGATTCAAGGAGGCTCGAGTTTAAGACATAACCCTAAATGTCCAGTATATTATGGTTAAATGTATTTATTCTTTATGTCAACAAAATAATTATACAATTTCATGCATGGAATGGTATTTGTGAGCAAGAAAGTTATTAAGCATCTCTAAGACTCTTGGAAGGCACACACATGGGCCGAGGGAGGTGTTACACGTGCCTGACAGCTCTTTACCAGAGTCAGCATAGGAGCAAAGAGGGGACAAAAGTGGCCTGGATGAAGGGGACACCCTCACTGTGTGACCGCTGTACACCCTGCTCAGGCTTATCTACTAGAGAACAGATAATCTCAAACTGCTCCCCTACTTCTTTGGGCACAAGGGATGGCTTACTACTGTTAGGAATCAAGAGAACAAACCTCTAGACCCTAGGAAGAGCAGAAAGCAGTCCAGGGTTCGGGTCCTCAATCCCCATGAGAGAGGTAAGAAATTCCCATAGACGACTCTCAGAGAAAAAAAAAAAAAAAACAAGACAGCATTTGCCTGCTATCAGAAGGTACTTGGATTCATAACCATCAAGCTGACAGCAATTGTGAAGGGGATAAAGCATAAAGACAACCCAAACACTAAGGAGGTACCAGAAGCCATGGGAAAAATCTCTCTAGCATTGACCCCAAGCATGAGAAAATACTAGAGGTGGGTGAAAAGCTAAACAAAATCAAAATCTAATTTAACCCCTAAGTAGAATGACTTAACGCCTATGCTAACATAAGAGTCATACCCAAGTATAGGAGGAAATATAGTAGCTAGCCTTTCATATTTATGGGTCCCGTATCTGTGGTCTCAATCAACTACTGGCTGGAAAGATTAGGAAAAACTTATTTTGTCTGTACTGAACATAAACAGACTTTCCCTTATCATTATTCCCTAAATAGCAAAGCATGAACTATTTACACAGCATATACACTGCATGGTCTACTTCATCTAGAGGTTAAATGTACAGTAAGATATATATATGCAAACACTATGCCACTTGACATAAGGGACTTGAGGACCCACAGATTTGGGTATTGACAAGGGGTGGGTCCTAGAACCAATCCCTCATGGATAAAGGGACAACTACTATAAGCTGCTTCTGTGTTTTTTAATGTAATGTTTGACATTTGGTAAGCTGAAGTGTGTACCAAAGAGCGGTAAATGAAGCCAGTGTCAAAAAAAGCAATGCATGGCTTCTTACTCAGAGATGCAGGACATGCTAAGCAAGGAAGACGAACGGCCCTCTGCGGCTTTAGCCAACAAGGAGACATCAAGCTTGATCAGACTATGAATTTCAGCAGAGGACTGGAAACTACAAGGAAGAATCGAGGGACAGTGTCAGAAATAATATAATAGAGATAAAGAGTGGTTTTGACAGACGCAGGGAATGTGACAGAACTGCAGGAAATTATTAGAAATCAGTTGAACTGAAACAAAGAGAAAAAGGAGACCACAAAACATGTAGATCAGTAACGACAAACCTTCTTAACAAAATGTGCTGACTAGTAAAAGAAGGTTTAAGATAATAAAGACTGAAAAATAAAATATCCCTCTCATAACAGGGTTAGTCACAGTAGTCAAAAGGCAGAAGCAACCCAACGTCCTTCGGTGGTAGCTGGACCAACAAAATAAAGTGTATAGGTACATGTAATGGAAGGAAATTCTGAATGCACTGTAACAGATGAACCTCGAGGTCAACCCCCAAAAGACAAATACTATGTGTCTCCACTCATTTTTTGAGGTACACAATCAAGACCAGAGAACACAAAATGCTGTCAAGGGATGTGGAGTTACTTTTGAGTGAGCATGGTGTATCAGAATTGCAAAATGAAAAATAAATTACAGAAAGACAGTGGGATTGACTAC